TTCGCGCTTGTGTAGTTAGCGTAGTCAATATTCCATTAGTCCCCATGATACCAAAAAGGGCACAGGTAGTTCCTGGAATTTAGTAGGTACCATTTCAACAGAGAATAGCCGACAATGATTGGGACAATATAAGGCGTCTAGTTCAGCATTTTGTGCCTTTTAAAAATTATGAAGTTAGTAGGACATTTAAAAAACACGATAATTAGAGAAAGAAGTATTTTGCTGACAAACACATTTCAGCATAAATCCGGCACAAAATAATGCGTATTCTCCCGGGGTTTGTGCCGCTCATACAATGCTAACTTGAGGTGCTTATTAAGAAGAAAGATTTACGAAGATAACGTTTAGTGTAAATATAGGTACTGGAACAAGACAATCGGGAGGGAGTTCACTATTTCAATTAGGCGTACATTGCGACTACAATATACTTATTCGGGATTATTATGCTATTATGCTAAATTATCTTTATATATAAAAATTCTTGTGCACATGTGTTTGTGACTAAACAACTACACGAATTTTGATGGTTTTCTTTGTATTTCTGGTCCCCGTAAGGTTTAAATTCACAATTGGGCCCTATCGGATTATAGGACATGTTTTAACTTTTTTCCTTGATGTCGCACTCTGCTATTTAGCGTACCGATAAAATATTATACAACAAAAGTTAATTTAAATGCTTTAAAGTTTAAAAGATTAACATTTTAAACATTTTATTCATTCAACTTGTAAGTGGCTGCGATACAATTGCTGCTCCATTCAGTCTAGGCAAATATAAATTGTGTAATATTTTGCCAAAAGAGTGAAATAGAACAAATTTAATTTATCCCGGCTATACCACCCACCAAAAGATGCCATCAAGCATCACGCATCAGGAACATAGTTGCAAGTGCGGACTTGGTTTGGGCAGGAAAAAAATCCAATGGATGGGACTGGAAGAAGGATGCTGTCTTGTTACTAACTCCAGTACTACTGTTGAAGGAATCTGGGTCTCAGGTCTTGCTGAATTCATATCCTGCCAATGCAAACCAGTTGTCAGATAAACTCCTGACTTTATTTTCCAACTACTTTTAGTATACTGCTCGTAATCTCATCAAGACACGGCTTTTTAGTAGACATTTTCTACTCTGATGCTCACTTTTCGAGAAAAATGCAAATTTAGAAAAATAAAATAATAAATAGCTTAACTTTTCAATTCAACACTTCTCAAAAACTAAGAAACTTGCAAAAAAACTGTAATGAAATTTTTTGTACATTTTTTAAAACCATTTAGTGTATGCAAAAAAATTTTTCAAGCCGTTATGGCTCTTAAACTTTTGGCACCCTCAACAACCATGAAGATTGCTACGGATCAAAACCAAATTAGAACGTTTTCGATTCCCCATACCAGCCCTTATGCACCCCAAATTTCATCCCAATCGGTTCAGGCGTTTTTTAATTATCGTGTTCACAAAAAACGAACGAAATACACCTGCCACTTTACCGACCGCACCGTCACTTTACCGGCTGCATCTGTGACATTGATAAATGTCTATAATGACTCCTGTCATCATTGACAGATTGGCATTAATCAAAAGTTCGATATGAAAATTGAAATTTTATATTAAAATACGATTTCGGGTGAAATTTAATACAAAACTCGTCAGTAAAATGACATTACCATTAAACACAGTTCGTATGTAGTCGGAAAGTAAAAAGGTTGCTCTGGGTAGTGCATCTGCAATATGTAACTGGACCAGCTCATGGTCGACTGCCACTTACCGGTGACCTTCGAAAGTAGGTTAGGGTGAAACTCAAAGGACACTTCTCATGAAGCCTCATTTTTGTGGTATCATATTTCATTTTCAAGGCCAAGGGAAGTAGATCAAAGTGGGGCTTGAAGGTCACTCGCTTTCTGGATGTGGTGTTTAAAAGTAGGCCAAGGTGAAGTTCAAATGTCGTTCGGAACCTCGCGGTAACCTTGTAGTTGCAGTAGGTGAAACTCAGAAGTGCGTTCGGTGATTCACTCCTAAACATTTCCTCCTCTCCTTATTTCTTTTATGTCTGGCGGAAAGTAGGTCAAGGCACTATTCGGGTGTTCATTCCAAGTGTCAGGTGGAAAGTAGATCAAGACAACGTTTCTGCGTTCACATCGGAAAATGGGTTTAATATTTGCCCTTCCAATAATGACCTTCGGCTGCAGGTGCCCATGCTGCTGCTGGTTACTGATTGACTCCCCCACTCTCTACCTTCTTTTCACTTGCTGTCTATTTGCTTTCTACCCACCCCCTACCCGCTTTCTACCTTCTCTTTATGTGCTCTCTACGTACCCTCTACCTGCTCTCTACCCCCTGTCTATGTACTCTCTACCTTATCATGTGTTTTCTGCCTGCTCTCTCTCTGCTCTACTCGCTCTCTACCCGTTGTAAGCACGACGTGCTTCCTGCCTTCTCTCTACCGATTCTCTACCCGCGCTGTAACCTGCTACCTTCTCTACACGCGCTCTATACCCGTTTTCTACCAACTACCGCCCTACTTTCTGAGGATACTACTCGCAAGTCACAAGGGGCGATTGGAATGTCTAGAACAAATATATCCATTGATGACAAGGTTGGTGATATCAAAACTTTAAAAGCGAATATCTCGAAAACGGTTTGTCGGAGCAAAGTACTCTCCAAGACAAAATGACTCGACCGCATGAGGCAACTAGAACGTCACGACGAGACATATCCACTGGTGATGTCTAAGCTTTAAGTGCAAATATCTGCAAAATTCAGTGTCGGAGGATTTTGAATGAATGTCGGGCGGCTTTTAAATGTTTATGTGTAAAGAGCCTCCGCCCCATTAATCACCTACCAAGAAAGTCAACAACGATATCATGCTACCTTATAACCCAACCATTTAGGCATAATACTAAGCTATTTCGGTTAAAAAAAAATGCGGTTTATCTGCACAAGAGTTATGCATAATTTATAATTGTTTTGTATCTTTTCAAATAACATCAGAAGGAAATTAAAACAGAATGGGCAAATTTCGGTTTTTCTGGCATATATTCGGAAGTAATCGGAATTATCTGGTTTTCTTCACAGCATGATAATTACTCCTTAATTGCGCAACTTTTGTCTAATTTGACCATCTTCGTATCTTCTATGGTTTCTAAGATCCCCATTATAAACATCCTTATCTTAGACACAGTGTATATAAAATGTTATTCTGTTTATCTGTCAGCCTTATATTCGAAAAACTCCCTTTTTCATTTGTGGAGCAAACAGAAAGCGCCTTGTA